CGGCGGAGGATATTGGCCTCGAAACAACGCAACCTACATTGGATTTCAACTTCACAACGAAGGATATCCAATTTCCAGGCTCAACTTCACGATGAAGGGGCCACATACAAATCCAACTTAATTAACAGATTGACCCGACTTCACGACGAAGGAGTCCTATGTAACACATCCATACCCAAAGTCTCAAGGACAAGTTTTTCACCTTTTCAACGAAGTATCCTGAGCCGAAAGATGATCCAGGAGCTGCTGATCAAGGCTTCGAGTCCGATTTCAACTTCATGAAGAAGGATTTCGTACTCAGAATTTTCCAGTTTCGACTCGACCTCACGACGAGGGAGTCATTTCATATTTCAGTTCATATTGACAAAACTAGTCTTAACATCGGATTTCAACTCTACGGCAGAGGATATTCGATATAGACGAAATTTGTGTCCTTTGATCTTTGCTCTATTCTCGTTACACGATAATGAGCAAAGAGGGGCAGCTGAAGACAGTCAATTCCGTTTTTTATTAATACTATTATTATATATCATATCGTATAATTATACATATATATATATATATATATATTAATTTTATTCGGTATATTTGTGCAGGCCCGATATATCAAATAAAATAGCCTGTTGCACATGGCCCGACAAGACCCAAATCCCACGTGAGCAGCAAGTTTCCAGAACCCTAGCTCCACACCTCGTTCCAACGCCGTTTTCCCCCATTTGAAGTTCCCACAGCCGCACGTCTCGCCCAACAACCCGTATCATTAGGCGCAGAGATCTCGGTCATCACCAACATATCAACAAACCAACTAGCATTAGAATCCTAGTTCTAATAGGATACTAAAAATAGGTTTTTTCGTATTATAAATAACACATGTAATCATCCATTTGAAGGGGAGAGGGATTTTCATACTGAATACAAGCAAAATTACTATCAAATCACAACCAAACATTCAGAGTCATTTCGAAGGTTTCTTGCAAATATTTCGAAAAGAAAGGTAAAAAATTTCATACCTTTGCATGTGGTTTTTCTTGTCTTGTGTCTTTGTTGTACATTGGGTCGAAAGAAACCCAAAGAGAGCGTTTTTAGCCGATGAACGGATGGGTTGGGTCAGGATCTTCTTTTGTAGATCTAGCCCCCGAGGCTCATTTTTTATAGAAAATATTTTGATTTTTGAAAACTAGATTTAAAAAGCTTTGAAAAACAAAGAAACAATCGGGTTTTGCCGCCGATGAACGGCGGCCGTCGCCGTTCAACGGCGGCGGCGAGGCGACGCGGTGGCCGTGTTCTGGGAACCATTCATACTGAAGAACAGTTGAGAGAAAAGAATAAGAGGAGGGTTTCTGTTTGGAGAGAAGAAAGAAATGAAATTTTAAAACCAGATTTTAGCACATATACGGCCTGTTAACCCGACCCATATACACCCCGGAACCCGCGTGTTTTTAAAGATAATGGGGTAAACTACCCTTTTGGTCCCTCGCTGCTTTTAAAGAATTATTTTGACCCTAAATTTGCTTTTGAATTGGTTTCTGATTTTGATTTCCTTTTAATTTAGCCCCCGATTCAATTTGTGTTTTAAAATATTATTTTTATTTATTTATTTTTCTTTTTTTTTTACATATTACGTTTCATTATTATATATTTTATTATTATTATTATATATATATATATATTTGATTATATTTTCTATTTTATTTTCTATATTCCTTTATTTTTAGTTTTTATTTGTTTATATTATATTATTATTCATAATATTATTTTCTTTTTTCTACTCATTTATATATATATATATATATATATATGTATTTCTATTTTTTTCCCTCATTTTTTTAAGCACCGTTATATATCTTTTTAGTATTTTTTTCTTTATCATTCACTTATTTGTTTCTTTATTATATATCTTATTATATGTATGCATTAAATGTTTGGGCCATTTTTTATCCTAAGACTTTATTTTCCCCCTTACTTTCGGTGAAATGATGGGGAAGCTTTCTTTACATTTTATTATATATATATATATATATTTTATATTTCATTTATTTTTTAATTTTCCTTTTATTTTATTTTTTTTCTACTTATTTTTTTGCATTTTTTTTATTTATATAGTTTTTCCCTCTAACACATCTTATGACTTTTCAAGGGTATTTTCGTCAATTAATCAGAGGTAAGTAATTCATGATCAAATTTTACCTTTTAATTTAAAATTACAATTTTCTTAATTAAGACAACTGGAAATTACGTAGTACCGAAAGGGCGGTTCAAGGGTGCTAATCTTCCTTGACTGTAACCGACTCCCGAATCCGACACATCTTTGGTAAGACGCAGATCAGGTAAGAAATAAGAGATCCGGTCAACCTATTTTGTTTAAAATAAACGATCGGTGGCGACTCCAATCCATTTTCCTAAGTCGAAGTCCAATTCCGGGACTCAACCGAAAGACGGTTGCGACAAAAAGGATATAAATATTTTAATGAAGGTAGAATTTTAAAGGTCAACAACCACTCTTTATCATGATGGAAGGGTAAATGGATATTGGTAGATTGTGTTCTATGGGATTCCACATTCGTGAGTGACGTTGTTGTTGCTTCCCCGCTTTGTTAGATGAAGATGTTACAAAACTTTGACACATGCGTCTAGGGAATATGAGAGAGAACAACATGATAGAGTTGAGCAAATGGGAACTCTTTGATAATCAAAGAATTTATAAACCGGCTTTTTGTGAACATTGTGTCTTTGGAAAGCAAAAACAAGTATGTTTGATCAGTGAAATTCACAACACGAAAGACATTCTAGACTATGTATATTTTGATCTTTGGGGTTCATCTATAATACTTTTTAAATGAAGTATTAATTATATGTTGACAATCATTGATGATTTGTCTAAGAAAACGTGACTCTTTTTTCTTAAAAATAAGAGTGATTCATTCTCCGCACTCAAAGATTGAAAGATGATGATCAAGAACCAAACATGGAAACAGGTAAAACGCCTCCACACTGATAATAATTTAGTTTTTTTTTCTAATAAATTTAATGATTTGTACCAAAAAGAGGGAATCGTGAGACAATTGACATTACGCCAGACCCTACAAAAAACGATGTCGTAAATTAGGTGAACGAAACGATAACGAAGAGAGATTATTGCATGTTGTCAAATGATGGTTCACCCAAGTCTTTGGGATGAAGTTGCCTCCACATCATATTTGTTAAATAATATGTCTTCTTCAACTAGCATTAGGAAGAAGAATCCATATGAGGTATGATTAAGAAGTCCTTTAGATTACTTTAATTTGAAATTTTTGGTTGTCCCGCCAATGCACATGTTTATAAGAAAAAGTTAGAGCTTAAATCCAGGAAGTGTTTCTTTTTAGGGTACAAAGTTATTGTAAAAGGGTATAAACTATGGTGTTCGGAAAAAAAAGAGATAATGATTAACATCTTGTTGTCTTTGATGAGATTGCTATATTACAAGAATCACCTTTCAAAGACACTGCCAATAAAGACCGGCTTAAATCAAACACAGCACTAAAGAATTTGGAGCTTCATTTTGATATAGGATGTTCAATAGAGGCATATCCAAAAATTAGACAGATTCTCCTGCCTCAAATTAACACATCAGAACCGCAAAATTCTATTGCTCATAACAAACTCAGAAGAGAAATCAAACGTTCACAAAGGTATGTAGAGGCTGACCTAATTGCTTATGCGTTTGTGGCGAACATAGATACAAGTCAAGAACCATCAACATACTCCGAGGTAGTTAGTGGTGCAGACTCAAGTAAGTGGATAAGGGCTATGTAAGAGAAAATAAAATCTCTTCAGAAAAACAAAACACGGAACTTGGTAAAACTTTCTTATGGTAAAAGATTTATTCGTACTAAATGATGACATTTAGTACATGTTATAAGTTCCATACTCTAGTACAGTGAGATCACTCATGTATGCTATGATTTATACATACTGAAGCTTAGTGTATGCAATCAATGCAATTAGTAAATATATGGAAAAACCGTGAAAAGAACATTGGAAGGATGCCCAATGGATTTTTTGATATCTCATTGGTACTTCTAATGTATGTTTACAGTTTGAAAGAAAAAAAAGAGGGGTTATCGGATAAAATGATTTTGAATTTACCGGAGACCTCAATAAAAGAAGATCTCTCACAGGTTAAATCTTCACGGTTGGAGGTTGTACCAATAGTTGGAAAACTACCCTACAAACTATCGTTGCTTTATCATCTACAGAAGCTGAGTACATGATGATTACTGAAGCATGTAAAGAAGCCTGAATGTGTACAAATCAAAGCAATTCTTTTAATATGAATTTGTTCTTTTATCCACTCCTTACAACCAAATTTGAGCATTGTTTCAACTTGGTGTTTCACGCTACTGCACTAATTATTGATGGGATCAAATGGATTGTGACAGTTGTAGGTGATTCACCCCTTCTAGTTTGAATGAAAAGCCGCAATTGGTGGTAGATTGATCGTTGGCTAGTGTCAAAGAGTTTTATCATTCATGATCCATCCTTTCTATCGATCTCGATCGATATGTTTTATATTGGTTTTTAGAGTTGGTGTTAGAAGTAGGAATATGATGGCCACTCATAGGTAAGTAGGCTAGGTGAATATGGTCAAATGACTATAGATTTAGTTGATATATTATATGGGTCTGTTAAAAGTAATGTCAATAGGTCACCATTTCTCAAAACATGTTAAATATTCGAGGTCCTTTCAAAGATCCTTTCTCTATATCTACCAGAGTTCCCTAGGTGTCCAGAGACTATAAGATGCGAGAAAGATATGCGGAGGACCTTTAGTTGGTACAACAAATCTGAATATAATTTTAATTATTACATATATTTTAATATACATGTTAATACGATAAAACGTCTTTAATATCCTTTTTCATTTCAACCTGCGATTCAATCCAAATACATGTTACCACTAATTGATTAGTTACAATATCTAATCGATGACTACACTAACTAATTTCACTGTCTTTAACCTAATCGAAATCAATCTCAGCGAGCCTTGACGACTTATCAGATTTGTTGTCCTTTGCAGTTAAGAACTTGAAGAGCATTTTATGCTTGTAAGGCTTTCCAGGCGAAATGATTTGTGAAGGGAAATTCTGGTGATTCAGTGCATCAGGAAAGCCTTGAGTCTCCAAACACAGCCCTGCATGAGGTTTGTATATAAACCCTCCTTTTCCCTTCTCACGCTTTATCAAGTTTCCGCTATAGAATTGCACACCCGCCTGATTCGTATACACTTTCATCATTCTCCCCGACTTCTTATCCTTCACTATTGCTGTTTTCTTCAGCTTTTTTGGATCGTCCGGACCGTCGATCACGTAGTTTATGTCGTAACCTTTCCCAAGTTCCCTGATCCGGCTTCCGATCGTCCGCGGTTTGAGGAAATCGTATGGAGTTCCTCGTACCGTGGACAATACGCCTGTTGGAATAAGGTGTTCATCCACTGGAGTGAATCGGGAGGCGAAAAGCTGGATTTCTTCGGACAAGATATCACCACTGTCGTGGTTACCAAGGTTCCAATATGTATGCTGTGCTAGATTCACAGGGGTAGCCTTTTTTAAAGCTCTAGCTTTCATCGTCACTCTCAGTCGGTTATCCGAACGGAGGAGGTACCGGACGGTGACTCTGATTTCGCCGGGAAATCCTACAGAAAAAAAAAGTATACTAGAAATTAAATATATTAGCTTTATGATCAGTTGTTTGCAATGAAAAATGATCATATTCAGGCGCTTGATGTGTTTTCCAACCATTTTCATCATCTTTGCTATCATAACCAAAGAGAATTGTGGGATCTTCAGAATGATTGTTAATCTTCATCACTTTCCAGATAACATCAGCGAATCCTTTAGGACCACCTAAAGTTTTCCATCAAATTGCGATACAAAACATCAGAAACAGCTAGCAATGAGCTTGGGAAATATCATTGCGTATTAAGAGATTAAGTTCACCGTGAAGTGTGTTATTCCCGTCGTTTTTCGGCAGTTTATATTGAGCTCCGTTCAAAGAAAATCTTGCACCTCCGATTCGATTTGCAACCCGTCCGACTACGGAACCGAAGAATGTTGTATCGTTCTGCCAATGTATACCAAGTTTTTTTAGTAGAGCGAAACTGCAAAATTAATATGAAAAAATAAAGAGAAAAACACACCTTATAATCCTTTACAGTATCATATCCAAGAACAATATCACCCCGTTTCCCTGCAAAATAGCAGGAAATGGAATAAAAATTCAACCCAGACAAGAAAATGGAAAACCAAACCAGACAAAAAGGAACCAACCATGTTTGTCTGGAATAACAAGTGACATAATGGTTGCACCCCAGTTGGTGAACTTAACAGACATGTTCCCATTCTTCAGCTCATATATTCCGATTTTCTCTTTCGATTTGTCAATGTCATATTCCAGTTTTCCACCATTGACGAAACCAAAAGCAACCACAAGCAGCAAAGAGAACAATAAACAAAGCTTATTCATGTTGTCAGAAGAAGGACGATGGTGAGTCACGGAGGATTTGCTTAGGAATTTATAGTAGAACAAAAACAGACGATGTCCATGAAACCCAACAATTGGAAACTAAAGAAAGGATGACGTATTATATTAAGATGTAATAGGCAAATATTCCAGCTTCTTTAGTTTTCCCATTTTTTAAGATAAGATAATTATCAATTTGATTTGAATGTTGCGCAATGCCCTGCAAATTGGTTAAGGCACACAAAACCGATGAGATGTTGCAGAAATGGAGAGACAGCTAGGCGAATTTCCCGAAAAATCACCCTTAATATCTTAATTTCTCTGTCAGACACCGTTCAGACAATATTTCTCGATCTAATACCCTTTTGCAGGAAGACGCGTCCCCTAAAACGCGCCTTACGCTGATCTAGCGCCACGTTGGGTAAGGCGTGGCCCCTGGAGCGCGCTTTACGCTGACATGGACACACGCTAGCAAAGGCGAGGCCCCTGGGGCGCGCCTTACGACACGTAAGGTATAGTGCGGTGCAAGGGCCGCGCCTTCGCTTTAATTCTGACACAATTATGCAAGGTTCGATGCAAGGGCCGCGCCTTCCAATTATCACATGCATAATGCAAGGCGCAGTGCAGGGGTCGCGCCTTGTATAATTACACTATCTCCTCTCGACTATAAATACCCCTATCCCCCCGTATACTCTCTCACAACTTCCTCTCAATCGAAAAACTAATACAACAATCCTCTCAACCAGTATAACACCCAGCAATCCTCTTATATTTGATTCAGAAGTTCATTCGATCTTTCGTTATAAGGTAATTTTGTTATAATATTTTTTTATAATTATATATGATTATTTGAAAAAAAAATATTATACTAATTGTTTTCAATGAATTTTTGTGTTTGTAAAATTGGAAAGCGGGAGCATACATTGAAATATTTTTGCCGATAAGGTAATAATATAAAATTATGTTATTTAAATTATCTACGTTATTGTGTAAACAAATTATTTCCTTATATTTTAATTCGTATATTATTTATTTAATTAGCCTTGTTTGAGGTTATTTTTTTTGCAGATATAAGATTGTCTCAGTTTCAAACTCTAAGAATGATGCGAATTTCAGCTATTGTTTATTATGATGGAGAAATTCGGGAAGATGAAATCGGCGTTGTTTTCGTATCAAATCATTATATTAAAATATCCTTCAAGAGAAACATAACTCTTGAGGAGTTGATAACGAAGATTTCAACGAAGGTTCATGTTGGAAGTACTAGAAGAATGTTGTCGCTTCAGTACAGATTTCCAACATCATTGTTGACATTAACTTATACAGCGTTCGAACTATCGAACAATGATGATTTTGAAATGATGGTTAATTCTCAAAATAATTATTCAGACGCCGTTACAGAGATGTATGAAAAGTTTATTGAAGTGCGTGCTGTTCGGGGTCTGTCATTAAGCTCCCACTATGGGCTAGCTAAACAAGCTGATCAAGTTGACAGGTCGACTACAGTAATGTTTAATGAAATTAATGCCATAATAGGAAATCTGCATCATAGTGTCGTCCCATCAACTTCAACGGGGAGACATTCATCAGCAATCCCTTACGATATGTACCAAAGTGGGTCTACAAACATTTCGTATGGCAACATCACATCCAGTTCAAGGAGAAGGCATTCATATGCTAATTTCTTTGACCTTAATATGGAGATGCCATCGACGCAACAATCTGTGCAATATCCATTTGACATGATGTCTTCAAGCTCCAGGGAGAGGCATTTGACTACAAGATTTTTCAATCTCAATGTCGATATGCCTTCTAGTTCAAGGGGAAGGCATGCAAGTAGTAGGTTATTCGACCTAAATATGGAGAGCATGGAGGAACCATCATCTCCACCAGAAGAACCGGTTCGTGAGCCAGGTGCGAATGGTGCTGAGACTGGATTATTCATTCACCCAGAATCACCGCAATTCAACTCCGATGATGATGATGATGTAGATGAAGTTCCCTCAAATGTGGCACAAACTTACCCTCCATCACACATGTATGAAGCTGATTATGGTGCAATGTACGGGCCTGAATTTGCAGATATGTCTCATCTCGGTGACTATGGATATTACTCATCAATAAATAATGGTGAGTTATATTTAGGCAAGGAGTTTTCAAGCAAAGAAGAAGCGGGGGTGGCTATAAAAATTACAATATCTGTAATTCTGTTCAATCCAGAGTCGACCGCTCCACGACAAAAAAATATGTATGCCACTATACCCGACGGGAAAATTGATGCAATTGGATGGTTTGTGTATCGAAGAGAAAGAGGAAAAACAATAGATGAGAACTAACAGTATACAACGGTCATCACACATGTTGTGCTGGAGGGATCAACCAAGATCATCCCAACTTGGACTCTGAAGTGATCTGCCAAGCCATCATGCCCATGGTAAAAACAAGCTCCCATATAGCTATTGCAGTGTTGATTTCTGCTATACAATCACAATATGGATACAGTGTCTCCTATAAAAAAGGTTGGTTGGCAAAACAAAATGCCATTGTCAAACTACATGGAGAATGAGATGCATCTTACAACGAACTTCCAAGTTGGTTTAGGGTGGTGAGGAGATTGAATCCTGGGACAATTGTGGACTTCGAAACCTCCCACGCATACCATAATGATCGAGTTATTCGCGATCGATGCCAATTCTACAGGGTTTTTTGGACTTACCCACAGTGCGTTAATGCTGTCAAATACTGCAAGCTTATGATCCAGATCGACGGGACTTTCTTGTATGGAAAATACAAGCAAGTTTTACTATTGGCAGTTGTCCAATATGGTAATCGCAACATTCTTCCAGTTGCTTTTGCTCTTGTTGAAGGAGAGATTCTTAGGCTTTTTTTCCTCCGAAACTTACGTTCACATGTTATCACGAGGGAAAAAATCTGTCATTATCGCGGAGCTGGGATCAAAGCAGCAATGGAGTCTTTGGGTCCAATGTGGCAATCACCCTTTGTCCAACATAGGTATTGTATCCGACACATTGCTACTAACTACTATGGAAGGTACAAGAAGAATGATGAACGTCAATTACTTGTGCGTATGGGTAAGTGAAACTGATGTAGTTTGTTTTCTTTCAATCATTTTCATTTTTAAAGAAACAAAGTTAGTAAATTCTACATTTTTTATCAGGTTACGAACTACTTCCTCAAACATTTGAATCCATGCTTCAAGATTTGCGGGCGAAGAACGAGGAAAATACGATTACATCAACCTCATCGATAAATAAATGTGGACAAACGAATATGATAGTGGATATCGATATGGACACATGACGACCAACTTGGCTGAGGCAATCAATTCGACCTTAAAGGGTGCACGTCACTTACATGTAGCGGCTTTGGTAAAAACTACATATTTTCGTTTGGGGGTGCTTTTTGCGAAGCTCGGGGGACAAGTTCAAACCTGGATGCAAGGCGCTCTTATCTATCACCCTAGATTAGTTGCAGATCTACAAAAAAATTGTTGCATCAAATGGAATGTTTGTAACAAGCTTCTCTAGAACACATGCTTTGTTTCATGTCACAGAGTTATCGCAACCTCTTCAAGGGATTAAAGTTGTGTTGTTAAGAGTAAATCTATGGGACAGATGGTGCGACTGCGAGTTTTTTCAAGCTATGAAGTATCAATGCTCTCATGTGATAGCAGCTTGCTCGCATACCCGTCAAGACTATAACCGTTTTGTGGATCCCGTATACCTACTATCAGAAGTTTTTAAGGTATACGAATTTGAGTTCCCCCATAGGTAATGACAAAGAACCTGATGAGGTTCAGAATTGGGTTCCAATTGTACCAGATCTGAGTTTATTGAGGGAGCGTGGTCGTCCAAAATCCACTGGAATTCATTGTGATATGGATATTCGAGAAACATATAAACACGACAAAAAATATGGGCATTGTAGAAACTCAGGACACACTAGAAAAACATGTCAAATTTTTTTGGCATCAAGTAATAATTGATGAGTAACTGATGTAGTTGTTTATCAAATAATAATTCTTGTACTTTAATTTGTATTTACTTAAAGTTAATGTCATTCGATAACCGCTGATGAAGATTAAAAAAAACAATACAAGAAAACGATATTGGACGCTGGTGTTATATGTGATTATAATAAAAGAGATAATAAATGACAAACTTAAGAAAGTTATTGAACATAATTATTAAATTTTATCAAACTAATATCAATTTGATATTTGAATATAATTTTAAATACAAAAAACTTACAATAAGTATTAAATTGTAAATAATAATCAAATTACAGTAACTGATATTAAATGGTAATAAACAAAATTAACCAAATATATTAACAAAAAGTCCAACAAAATTAACAAAATAAATTAAAAAATCCAACCAAATTAACAAAATAAAGTAAGTATTAAATGGAAAATAAAGTAAGTATTAAATGGTAAATAAAAAAAGTACAATAAAAAAGTACAATAAACAACTAAATACAAATATAATAAAATATCAAAATATATCGATGTCTGTGGTGCGAATGTGTTCCGCAGGGCGGTGGCTGTCTGTCTGGAGGAGGATTTCTGCGTATAACTGGTTCTGACTCCTCGCTGTCATCATTATCACCATCATCGCCACCGTCGTCATGAGAATATATATTTTGTTGATGAAGAACTGATGACGATGTAACACCTACATAGAATAAGGACCCTGAAGGTGTATGACTGACTATCCCACCGCCCTGCGATAACTGGGAAAACTCATAAAACCCAGACATCGATGAGTGAGAAAATTATACTGGAGGTGTCTGTGTGGCGACCATCAGTGATGAGGCTGCACCCGTCAAATAATCAGCATATGAACCTCAAGTCAGATCTGCAAACATAGACTCATAATATCCTCCATGAGGCAGGGTCATAAAACCTAGAAACGGTGGTAGCGGCGGCATCTGGTAAGGGAAAGGCGGTGGTGGTATCATATATGGTTGCAGCGTGTAGGTCGTTGCAGATGGTGGCTGCTGTGAAGGTCCTATTGGTGCAACTGAGGACAAATCGGAAGCATCTGTTCTTCGTCTACGAGTCGGGGGACGATGAGGTTGTGACGGTGCACGTCTCTGTCGACGTCACTGAAATTACCGCCCTCGTGCATCCTCTGAAAGCAGAAACGGTTTCCTATTACTATTGAAATACTCATAATAACCATCTGTAACCGTTAAGAGGTCATCATAAATGGGCTCTCTACGGGGAAGGCACCGATGTCGATCCTCCCACAACATGACCCACTAATGATGCTTTACCAGTCAATCTGTATAAGACTTGCCGTGTCGATTTGTGCTATGCAACTCGTCCATATTGCGAGGTGCTTCCGGAATTGGTTGTACAAAACCAAATTGTCGGAGCACGCGATCAGTGGAGTGCCACTCGACGATCGTATAACATATCAAAGGGATCACTGCCATCCAAACATCTGATGGGCCCCTCAACTCAGGTGGGATGCACATCCTCACATCATCATGACAATATGGAACTCATTCAAACTAAAACAAATATATATATATATATAGTTTTTATCAAAATAATAATCTAATTATATAACTATAATACAAAATCGATTTTTAAACATTAAAATGCATACCTCTGTGCCAGCCTTCTAATCGATTAGCACCCTTATTTTTTCTAAATTATCAGGTAGCTCCCGATGATTTTTCATGTTAGTAAACCACCTATTTAAGGATTTTTTTATTATACACTGTATAAAATGATTAATATACGAAATCAGTTTTGTAATTACCTCAATAGTAGCGAAAATACGAACGGATTCTTCATAACATGACATAAAAAGGGCAAGCGATACCATGCCCAAGACTGCAACAAAATGAGACATCCGCCGATAGCATTTTTCCTGTAGTCAGTCACTCGACACATCTCCCTATATAGGAAAGCCAAAACTGCTGAGCCCCAACTCAGTGATCCGACCAGATGAAAGTCGCCAAGATGTCGCAAACACATACAGTGAACTTGGTTACGTGATTTGTCCGGCATCAACAACCCTCCTATCAGCTGCAGTATGCATGCCCGTGCATACATTTTAACCTCATCATCAGAGGCGTACTCGCTCAACTCCCGAAAATTTTTATCTAACCAATTTAACGATATCCGATCACCGTTTTGTGGGACACCTCCTAGATAATCCTGTCACAAAGTAGTCCAGTTACCATGTGCTATCCCTGAAATCACATCTCCCTCCACCGGAAGCCCCAAGTGCATAGAAACATCCTCAAACGTAATCGTGCACTCTCCGCATGGAAGATGGAATGTGTGGGTCTCCAGCCTCCACTGCTCCACTAATGTAGAAATAAGGTCTGGTTCTACCTTACAATGTCTCTTTCATATCTACCTATGTGACCGAATCCAGGCTCGACTAAATACGGCCAGACACAAGTAGGTATCGCTGACTTAAGGTTCCTAATAAAATGATCTAATATACGATTGCTCTCATAAAATATTAACAATTACAAAAATTAATTTATAAACTAATAATCGTGCATTAAATAAATAAACTATTACTAATAATTTAAATTAAATTAAAATGTAAAAATGTTACCGTATCAGCATAATGACTCGATATATGATTTACATCCAAATGAAGCAGACCACATTCCATTTTATAACTGCAAAAAAATTAATTAAATAAAATATTAAAATAATTAAATAATAAAATACTAATAAAATAAAATAAAATAAATATACCTTAAGTTGATAGGATTTGTGTGATGAAAATGAATGAGAATTGAGGTATTTATAGGGGTGGAAAGAGTGTGAATGGTCTGAAATTAAAATAAAGGCGCGGCTCCTGCATCGCACCTTTCTGACGCGTGTCAGAATTAAAGCAAAGGCGCGGCCCCTGCACCGCGCTATACCCCTACGTGGCATAAGGTGCGCCCCAAGGACCGTACCTTTGCTAGTGTGTGTTCATGTCAGCGTAAGGCGCGCTTACCCCATGACGCCAGATTAGTGTAAAGCGCGCTTCGGGCGCACCTTCCTGCAAAGGAGTTAGATCGTAATAAAATCTAAACGATGCCTAACAGAAAAAATAGATATTAAGGGTGATTTTTCGGGAAATTCGCCAGACAACTAAGATTGTTTATCTTTTCAATTTTTCGAGGCATAAAACAGTGTCGATATACTCTTGGTGTTTATATGTTGGTGGAGTCCAGCTTATTTATGATATTGACACGTCTTATATTTGTCTTGTAATTGATTAACTTAGATCTGACACAAAATATAAGGGGCTATTTGTTTGCCTCTTAATAGAATCATTCAGCGTTGAATGCTGAACCGTTCAGCATTCACGCGTTTGTTTCGCACTGAATGATTTAGTGTTGACGATTCAGCAAAACAGTACTGAATGATTCAGCACAGAAGTACATTCTGAATCATTCAGAGCCAGTTATCAAACAACATGTCTCATTCAGAACCAAACCCTTCAGAGCCTCTAAATCATTCAGTATTTAAATCATTCAGCGCTTAATCATTCTAAAGTAAACAAACAACCCCTAAATATGGGTAAATTACTTAGATCTAACACGAAATATAAATCTGGGCTTGAATCAACTACGGAAATTCGAAATTGGATTTTGATTTGATATTTCAATGTTTTATTTGCATATATTGACTTGATTCGTGCATATGAAGGTTGAGGCTGCTTTATTTTTTAGTCTGTCCCAATTTCGTTCGTGGGTACCTGTTCACACTCCAAGAGGGTGTTCTGACCGTCGTGTCTCACGATCTCTGACTACGCTTTTCACGTAGTAAAACAAAATAAAGCAAAAGCTGCGGTGGTTGGACTAATGTTTTTTTTACAAAGTGATCCATCTAGAAATGACATAAATGCATTGGAGCAACACATAAAGAACCTTTAAGTCCATCAACTCTGTTTTCCTTCAACACATTCTATGATCCGTACCGAGTCTGTCCCAATTTCGTTCGTGGGTACCTGTTCACACTCCAAGAGGGTGTTCTGACCGTCGTGTCTCACGATCTCTGACTACGCTTTTCACGTAGTAAAACAAAATAAAGCAAAGCTGCGGTGGTTGGACTAATGTTTTTTTTTTTTACAAAGTTTTTAATAAACCTCAAGTCCATTTTATTATGATTTTGCATAGAATTTGATAGATAAAGGTGGTGGTAGTCTTGTTTACAGGGGGTGCCTTCTCGATGGCAAGAAATATTGGCAGTGGAGGCTCGGGTTAACGATAGGCGGTAACAATGGGCGACGGTTGAGAGTGAAAAAGTATAAAAATAATATTAAAAATGTCATGTCACCGTAGATTTAGAGAGAAAACGACAAAGTGGAAAAAAAATTAATGTTTAAAGTTGAGTGATTAAATTGAAAACTTATAAATTTTAATGATTAAAACAGGAGTGAAAAAGAATTGAGTGATTGATCTATGTAATCTACCCTATGAATCTTAATTTTCTTTCAAGGTTTATCCATATTTGTAAAACTAATACAAATTCATTTTAAGCTGCACATAAACACATGCTATTTTTATTTTTTTTTAAAATTATTTATGTTATTTTTATGCAACTTTTAATTATATAATATTTGCATTAACATTTTAAAGCTGTTTTTTTATTATTTATATTATAATACTATGTGTTGTTATAGATTTATTTTTTTGGATAAGTGTTGTATAATATATTATCCAAGAAGCTGAAAAAAAAATATACAAACCGTGGGAAAGACTCCACAGGGACTATAGAATCCCCTACTCATTACACAGTTTCATATTATTTCCATCAGTTTTATCAATACAAATTTTATACAATCTAACTCAAACAACCACCTTAATAGACTCAACAACATCATCTATCCAACAAACAACCCTCCTAAAATATTTATGATTACGTTCCTCCCAAATACAATAAACGAAACCAACCCATGCTAGTTTGAGAATGCGTACAATGAGATATTTCCCCTTCAAGTTATTCATTGCCCATACCAGATCATCCTCCCAGCACAAGGGCAAATGATGTAACCCGCAACCTTGCAAAATCCTCCCCTAAATGCTTCGAGAGTCCGAGAACAAGTGATCTCTAGACTCCTTAGCAACTTCACATAAACTACATCTGCCATCCGTAATAACCTCCATCCGAGACGGCCTATATTTAGTAGGAAACCTATCCAAAATAGTTATCCAAGCAATGATTGCATGCTTTGGAATATGAGAGGGGAACCATATAAGATTATGCCACTGCACCTTGGCCCTCCTTTCCCTCACATTATCCCAAACCCAGCTGCTATTCACCAAAGCCCAATTAGTACCAATAGCAAACAATCTCTCAACAATCGCCCACAGCTTCAACAGTTTCCTAAGGATCCAGTTGAAGTGGGATTTGCAAACAACCTGCCAGAAGTCCAAACCTTTCAACACGTACTCCTTGACCCAAGCAACACATAGAAACCCCCTTATCAGCTAAGATATTCTTCACAAGTAGCAAACTACAAGAAGTATTCCAACAAGTTAGACTCTTTAACTCCAAGCCTCCCTCCGATTTTAAAGTACAGACTTGACAACAGCTTACACGAGAACCATTCGCAGCAACATCTTCACCTTTCCAGAAAAACGCATGTATAAATGCTCAACCTTCAGAGTCAAAACTTTAGGCAAAACAAGTTGTCTACTCCAATAATTGAAAATGTTGAAAAGGACAACTTTAATAAGCTGCAGTCGACCACCATAGCTGAGGTTTCTATTAGACCTAAGTCGAAGTTTAGTTTTGATCTTCTCTAAAAGGGTCGAACAATCCCTAACCATTAGATTCCTTGTAACTAAAGGCACCCTAAGGTATCTAACAGGAAAAGACCCTAATCGAAAACCAGTGACAGCCAGGATATTATTGAGCTTCCATGCATCCACACCACAAGCAAAAAGTTCAGTTTTAGAGACATTGAATTTCAGGGGCGGATGCATTAAGCCCATAGGGAGCCAAGTGCATCTCATTATTTTGAAAAAATAATTAAATTTAATTCAATATGTCAAGTAAAAATAAAAAAATTACATACCCATTAATTTTAATAAAAAATATTAAAATTTTAGACCATATTATTAAATTTTTAAATCCGCCACGATTGAGTTTTAACCTCGAAACCCCATAAAAAATATCTAAAGTACTCAAAACCCCATCACATAATCCATAGAACCATGACAAAAGATAAGCAGATCATCCACAAAAATCAAGTGGGTAAGGGAAACTATCCTATACTTAGGGTGAAACCTGATAATTCCATTGGCAACAACAACATCAAGCATAGAATATAGCACATTCATCATCATCACAAAGAGATAAAGTGATAAAGGACCCTCTGTCTCACCTAGGGATGGACACGAAAACTCAAATCCGACGGGTTTCAATCCAACTCGACTCTATTGGGTCGACTTTTTTTTATAAAAAAAATCAGGTTTAGGTCGAGTTGGATCGAATATGTTCAGGTCGGATAAATATCAGACCCGACCTGGAAAATAATATAATTATATCTTATATATTTAGGGATAATTATAATGATACTCATCTCTATATTATATTTTTTTCAATTAGATCTCTATTTTTATCGAGTAAAATTAATATTTTTATAAATATATTTGTTTCGAGTTGAGCCGAATCAGGTAGGGTTTTATCTCGAAAAGACGGATTGAGTTCTGGACAGGTGAAGTCACTCTAAACCTGGGACGGATTGAATTAGGGTTATATATTTTTAGGTCGGATTGGGTTAATAAAAAATCCGACCTGACCCAACCCGAATCGTGCCATCACTAGCCTCACCCCCTATAACCCATGAAATACCAAGTCGCCATTAAAAGAAACAGAAAGTCTAAAAGTGATGATGAAAGCCATAATTCACCCTCATACCTTCCAGAAAATTCAAAAGAAAATCCAAGCGAACCGAATCAAAAGTCTTTTGGAGAACAATCTTAATAGCACATTTAGGAAACAAAGACTTCCTAGAATAACCTTTAATCATCTCTTGAGCAAGAAAGGTATTATCCACTTTGCTCCTACCCTTAATGAATGTAGACTGACAAGGAAAGACCATCCTAGGAATAATGAACGACAATCGATCGGTGGGTGAATGACGAATAATGTGCACAATAATAGGAGAAGACTTCAGTGTAACGAAAACTATGTGTTATAATCGATGATGGTGGGTGAATTTAGATATTATGGTTTAGGATTTTTTGGGAATTTTTTTTTATAGATTTTTGGAAATTTAAAGTTTTTGGGAAAATCGTAAGAATTTCAAGCGTTTTTTTTTAATTATTTTATATTATAAATCATATATAAGTATATATATATATATATATATTATTTATATTGTATATTAATATATAACTAATATTTCTGTATATATTAATATTATTTATAATATATTAATATTATTTAAATAATATTTTATTTTAGAATATAAATTATATATAATCTGAGTTATATAATATGAATATTATGTTTGTAAAAGCATATTAAAAACTTAAGTTGATTTAGTGGTTAAGTTTTATCTTTTGTTTTTAAAGTTTTAGGGTTCAAATCCCCCTAAATATAATAATTTATTAAATTTTCTCAAGTAAAACAATGTCGCTTTAGAATTTTTTGGGCATCGAAATGGCCACATCATCATTTTAATGGGACACCCATATCATTGAATGCAAGTTATGTCACTGTTTCATTAATAATTTAACGAAAGAGTAACATAATTGAAGAAAAAAATCAAAGTTTAATGTTAAAATTAATAAAATTAAAAGTTTAATAGTTGATGACATCATCATTTTTATCCCTCTCTATCTTTTCTAAATATCTTAATCTATTCTTTTTTATTTTATTTTAAATATATTTCTATAAATTTTTACAAAAAGAATATGCATTCATAAGAATAGTTTTTACTGTGATCAGTAACCAGAATCACAACATGATCAAAAAATTTGCGTTGGATCAATATCTAATTCTATATTTATATTTTTATGTGAATCGCGGATGTTTTATTGTATTTATTTTAATTGTTTAAACAAAAAAAAATTGATACTTAATTGTTGGTAGACGACAACATCAACCTTAGAATAATTGTCATCGTCGGTTTTTTCTCTCTTTAATTTCTTATTTCACATCTTTATTTTTCTTTATTTTTAATAACTATGTTTTTATAGCATATTTTTTATTTTACTTTTCAGTCATTTGTTCATTCGTGTCATTTATTTTTATTAGATTGAATATGACGTTGTCACAATTGATCAAGATGACGCTAATTTATTATTCTGTCAATTTTTCATATTTTGGATCCTCGAATTGTGTTTGAATATGCAACAAACATTTGTAGATAATTTTCTCACGATGTTTGGCTCTTATTCGCGTTTTTCGATGGTCTGTAAGTAGTTAAATCTCTTTTTGTGTCCAGTTGTCATAACATCAGATTTGTTTGTATATCTAGTTATTGTTTGAGTTTTTTTGGATGAATTTTTCACGGTTTCCTTGTATGATCATTATATATCTCAAGTGACTAGTTTCTTATTTTAATAGTTATAAAAGAATATCCTAATTATGTGTTTAGTTTAAGAATATAATTGTAAATTCTTATTGTAATTTTATTTATTAATAAAATTAGTTACTTTTATTTATGTCAAAAAATTAATACTCGATTAAAATATAAAAGTTATCGCTAAGACACCCATACAATTACACAAATTTCAAAAGTAAATTACTATAAACTTAAAAATTACTTAAAAATTAAATAATGGTTTGATTCAAGTAGTAGGTTGAAATCGTTCAAACAAGTATTTGGTTCGAGATCTTATATATATATATGCAGAAAAACTCATTTATTTACTCATTAAAATCAGATGTGTAACACGAATTGTTCTAGATTAGTCAACGCAAAATTCAAAAACCAAGAGGACAACTAAAAATAAAACTAATAATTAATTTTGATGAAAATTTCTTGTGTCCTTCAACTAAAAAAATTAAATAGTAAAAGTAAGAGTTGATTTTAGCTCCGCTCTCTTTTCCTCGGAACAAATGTATTCATCACCCATAATATTATATACGATGTAAATTTGTAAACGTAATTGCTCAAACTCATGATATAAAAAAAACTCTTTTTAATCATTAAAACCATTCAAAACAACCTTAAACCACGTAACTTAGAAATTAAGTGAACAATGGTCACGTATATTTTTTTACCATATAAATCCAAACATATTTACTATATGAATCTAAATTGAAGAGGTAGCTAGGCTTAATCTGTTAAACTGTATGAATGAGGAATTGTATGTAATATATAGAACTATGTGTGTAGAGAGAGAGAGAAACAGAAATGCACACCTTTCGTTTACTGAGTGCATGTTTCTCTCTCTCTCCCCCTCACTGTCAACCTAAAAATCGCTGTCATTCAGTCTCTGAACCCCATCACCACCCCTCCCTTGCATGTCTTCTTTCTATAACCTCTCAATCCACCATATAGCCATTTGAGAGCTCAGTCCTTATAATCCATTCTCCCCCAAGTTCATGAATCATTGAATCTTCATCCTTTGAAATGGCTTTTCCCCCTCATGCTTTCATGTTCCAACCCCATGGAGGTCACAACAATGATCATCTCCCTTCCCCTACTTCCCTCAATTTCCTCCCTTCTTGCCCTCCTCTGCTCTTCCATGGTATCTCCCTTATTCTCTCTCTCCTTTCTTTCTATTTGCTGATGGGTGTTGTTTTGTTTGTTTGGATCTATAGGTGGTGGAGGTGGTGGTGCACCGTTTATGATGAAGAGAACAGTGTCATTCTCGGGTGTGGACAAGTCGGAGGAAGTGCATGGAGATGATGAATTGTCTGATGACGGATCACATCTAGGGGAGAAGAAGAAGAGGCTCAATCTGGAACAAGTGAAGGCACTGGAGAAGAGTTTTGAGTTGGGTAACAAGCTAGAACCCGAGAGGAAAGTGCAGCTGGCTAAGGCCTTGGGGCTGCAACCGAGGCAGATTGCTATTTGGTTCCAAAACAGGAGGGCTAGGTGGAAAACCAAGCAACTGGAGAAAGATTACGATGCCTTGAAGAAACAGTTTGAAGCTCTCAAGGCTGACAATGACGCCCTTCAAGCTCAAAACATGAAACTTAATGCTGAGGTACTTTCAGTTCTATGCCCTAATTAACTAACTTTAATCATCTTATTAAGTTTTCTATGATGATTTTGATCTTTCTGATTTTTCAATACTGACAGCATCTTATTTTTATATTGATTAAGTTATTGATCCAACATTAAAAATGTTCATAAGAGTCATCGAATTGCTTTATTTTAATGATTCTGCTGCTGCTACCATCAGTTGATCACGAATATGAAGTTGTCAGTGTCAGAAAGCAGCAACTCTTAGGAATATAAGTTTTTTTTTTCCATTGATGGCACATGAAATTGATTTAAACTTTATTGGTTTCGAAAACACTACTGCTGTAGTTGTTGTCTTTGAGTAGCAAAGATTCGAATGAAATCATGAGCATCAAGAAAGAAAACGAGGGTTCATGGAGCCATACTGGAAGCGATAACAGTTGTGATGTCAACTTGGATATCTCGAGAACACCATTGATGAGCAGCAAACACCTTTTCCCAAGGCCAACAACAAGCATGACTCAGCTTCTCCAAGATTCATCAAGACCAGACCTTCAGTGCCTAAAACTCGACCAAGTGGTTCAAGAAGAGAGCTTCTGCAATATGTTCAATGGAGCCGATGACCAGCAAGGGTTCTGGCCATGGTCTGAGCACCAAAATTTCCATTGAAATCTAAACACCAAATTCTCCAACAAAATACCACTGTTTGTATAATCGTCAATTTCCATCAGCTTTTGGCTTAGCAAGTTGATTAAAGAAGAACAAAAGCTAGGAGATTTTTTTTACCATGGTAACTTCAAACTCTTGTTTTGGCTGTAGATCTGGTGTATAGAATTGGACATATTT